TAAAATATATTTATTTCTATGAATCCACACCCCTACCAACCTTATTATTCTGGTGACAAACTCAGATTGAAACTTCCTTCATCAGCAGTAGGACTTGATAACTCAGCTGTGTGATGGAAAGTGAGTTTTGTGTTAATTGTAGACAAAAATGGACTTCTGAAAAATGTTGGATGCAAATTAAATGAAGGGATTTATTAAACTCTTTCAATTCACCAGATGGATTTGGAAAATAAAAAATTATGTTTATTTCTTTTTTTTTTATTTGTAAATTTAAATAAACATATATTGTTTTTCTTTAACTTGGATGTTTACAGAATTAAAAAAAAAATTGTGTTGAGTGTAAATCACAAGAAAAAGGTTTCCCAGAGAAGTTATGGACTCCCCATCCCTAGAAGACTCAAGGCCAGGTTGAACAGAGCTTGGAGAAACCTGGGACAGTGGAAGGTGTCGCCTATGGCAAGGGATTGCAACAAGATGATTTTAAGGCTCCTTCCAATTCAAACCAGTCCATGATTCTCTGGTTCTGTGAAAAGAAAGGGTGTGCTACAGACACGTATCTGGAATTTCCCATTCAAAGCTATTTGAGCTGTTTTTCCCTGTAAATTACTTTCAGAGAATATTTGGGGAATAAAAAATCCGACACACCCATAAATTACTTCACAAAAAACCCAAAAAAAACTCTTGTTGAAATAACTTTTTTTTAATCAGAAAAAGAAGGAAATAGGGGACAACATTAATCAGGTCTGTTGTTGTGATATAATATCCTGACATATCAAAGGGTTTAAAAGTAGAGCCTTGGATTGATTATCCCAGGCCACCTGAGAGCATCATGTGGGAACTGAGGACCCATGGATGGGTGACTGAGAGTGTGCAGTGGTCCCTGGGTCCAGGACAAGCACCCTCAGGACACTCTTCATATGCTGAGCCTTCTTCTGTGGCAAACATCAGGAATTTGAGGCCGCTTGTCTCTGTAAGAAAGAACAGTAAATTGCTTTGTAGACGCCAAAGTGATAATATTTCTGCACTCTGCTATTTAGCACCGAGCAGATGATAGGAGGTGCCTTATTCTCTGACAGGACATGTTGTTTTCCAACAGCCACACACAGGAAAATGCTTGAATTTTGAATTCCTGGGAGATATATCCTGGCAGGCATGGCAAACCTCTGGCAGGGCAGTACCAGTTTTCAGCACATCCATATTCAGCAGATACTTGACATTTCCAAGATGCATTTCAAGGACAGTATAAATCATTCAGGAATAAGAAGTGCTGTGAATTTATGATGGTGTTTGGCTGTTGCCCTGTAGCCACTTTTATTCATTCAGACCAAGGGGTTCAGTCTGTTCACTGAAGAGAACCAACAGGAGGAGCTGGTTATGACATTTTAGGGTACTTTGAATATTCTTTCCAGACCTGCCTGGCAAATGGTGCTGAACTGGTTGTTCAGTGCGTCAGTCTTTGCCTCTGAGGGTTGTGATGTGTTGTGTGCAAGAATCAAAGCTCTGCTAAAGTCAGATGGGAAGGTAAGTTCTATCTGCCTGTTTTGGAAGCAATAACCACAGCTCCTCATGACTCACAGTGCTGAAAATTGTATTTTATTGCACCAATCTAAGCCAGTGTGGCCCATTTAGCCTGAATTTAACATATGAGCACGATTATTTTATAAACCCTCTCGTGTGCAGAATTTATAACTCGATGTTTACATTGAAGTTTGCAAATTACTAACCCTGAGCCATTTTAAACTTTGCTCTGGAAGAATCTCCTTCCCTTTAACATCCACAGCTCTGTCTTCACTAAGCCTGAGGGCCTTTTGTTCGTGGAATGACACTCACTTAAAACTTTCCAAGTACATGGCAATTCGAATGGGCAAAATTCATTTTCACGCTGAAAGCAATTTCCCTCCAAACTTGGCTTTTAATTAGGAAAGAAACCTCTATGCATTACCAAAATACTCCTTTTTTTTTTCTTCTTCTTCTTTTTATTGTGCCTCTCAGTATGCTCTATTGATTATTTTTAGCCAGAAGTTGTAGCGATAAAAGAGGGTTAGGCTTATTAAAGTGCTAAAAATAAAAATATACTATGAAAACCTGAAGGGCCCCATTTTGGTTACTGCCAAGTGGGAGCATTTAAAAATTCTCATTCATGAGCTCACTTTCCTGTCGTTCAAGTGGTTTAGCTGAAATTCTGCCTTGTGAAATGAATCCATTGTGAAAATTCAGGTCATGTGAATGATTCCTTGACAGATTAGGGCAAAACCCCCAATCCAGCCACTGTCAATCCAATAATTTCCCATATAAGGCTTCTGTTGGTTATTAGAAGGGCTTGATCTCAGGACACAAATAAATATCTGGAGTTGAAAGATACCTCGTGGGGGTCTCATTATTTCCATCTCTGTGTGATAAATGTGTCATAAAATCATTAAAAAATGAATCTAAAGCCTGGCTAGCTCTTTTACGTTCACTATTGCTATTGCAAGACTGTGTTTTAGATGAAAAATTATAAATATTTTCCTAATTCTCTGATGTATTTGGTTGCAAACACCATCTGCTTTGGTGCAGCCCTATCCCTGAGTTTATCAAAATGTCAACTGCATCCCCTTGGGATTTTTGTTCTCAAATTGTACAGTAAATTTGTCACCAGAGTCTGAAGGCAGAAAGCTGTTGTGGGATTCTGTTTCTTTGAGAATTTCCGGACCCAGGGCTGGATTATCTCCTTTGTTTGGGAACAAACTCACTATGCCTTTATCCCAAAGGGAAAGGAAAAGGCTAGATCCCTCCATCTGGGCTTTCAGCCTACTGAGGACCCTGCCACCCTTGCTGCTCCATCCCCCAGTGAGGTCCCTTGGCAAGGAGCCTGAAAGTGGCCAGGGTGAGGCTGTGAACCACCACTCGTGCAGCAAAGATTCACTGAAATGTCTGTCAGTGACAAACTCATCGTTGACTTATTAATATCATTGAATTATTGCTTGTTTCTTTTGTGATTTGAGCCAAATCCTCTTCCCTCTCTTTGCTCCCCTGTGTTAATCAGCAGAAATATCTGGTGAAATTGCTTTACATATTCATGCCTCATTATTGTAAAGTTTTAGAGCTGGTTTGGTGGGGTTTTTTTGTTTGTCTTAGTTTTTCCCCTGTGCCTCAGGACTACAAGTTGCTTCAAAAAATAGAATTTAGATGGGAGCTTTACTTATTCCAAGGCTGGTATTCCCCCACTGGCAGGAGTGAGCAGAAACAGTTCCAGCAGGGCCCAAGCTCCCTCTGTGACATCCATCAACTCATCCAGGATGTGGAGCACGTCCTTCTTTCCTGGGAAAGCCTGTGCTGGGAAAAACAGAGATGATGTTCTCAAAAGCTCTGCCCAAGGTGTGGTTCTCCCATTCCAGGGAGCACTAAGGGGTGTGCACAGTGTTTAATTTTATCTAACGAAGGTAAATCTCCTCAAGCCTCCCTGCAAGCAGAGAAAAGTGTTGGGTTCCTCTGGAGGGCCTTTGAAGGGAGCTAAATTAAGCTGCTTCTATGATTTCCCTCTTCCCAGGAGAAGTGCAGACAGATTACTCTTGTTTTAGAAGGATATATTTAATACATTTCTCCTCTGTAGCTCCTCTCTGCCTAAATGATTCATTTTCTGAGGCCAATCAGCCTTTAAGAGATGTTGAGCAGTGAAGGGTGTCTGCACTAAGATCCCAAGGAACTTTATACACGACCAAGTTCTGTTGCATTGATTAGGCACTTGGGGTTTTGCTCTTTTTTCTCTTTTTTTTGTGGTTTTTTTTCCCTTTGCTTTGCTTTTCTAAAAATGTATTTTATTTTGAGTTAAAATGGCTTAATTACCTTAACAGACTTTAACACTGTTTCATTTAAAAATGGGAAAATGTGAATGCAAGCACTTTGCACAAATTATCTGCAAACCCTCATTTCTTTGTCCACCACGAAAGTGGAGAGATTAATTCCTGTTCTTTCCTTTAGAACCTTAAAGAATAAATTACTTGAATCTTTTGTGGCATGTCTTAATCCAACTCCTTATACTATTAATTGAAGAATTTCCACTGGTTTTATTAAGGATTAGAGAAATCCCTGGAACTTTATTCTACCTGAGGCTGAGTTCTCCTGATTGAGTTCATGCACCCTGTGGTTTATTTTGTGCTCAAAACCACCCATTTGATCAAGAAACAGACCAAGGGCACATCCTCTTCCACTGTGAGCAGAAATTATTGGCTGTACATCTCTTGGAGGATAAGATTTCCAAGACTTCCACTGGAAAAACAAAACCTTTTTTGCAGGTTTTATACCATACCTGTCTTGCTTCTTAAGCACAGTCAGGAGTCAAAGTTAATATTTGATTTTGATGGAAGTGGGGACCTGCCAGTTGTGATGGGTAGATGATAATCTTTCTTTTCCAGTCTCATTTTGATTCCTTCTGGTTCATCCAGGCTTCCCCCAATGCCAAACAAAGCAATGCAGGGTGAGATTCTTCTCACTTCATTGTAGATTCCAGCAACTTTTCTCAATCTGAGCCATTTTACAGACCTCCACTGCAGCTTGGAAATGTGGTCCAAGAGTTTGACTTGTGGCTTGTTTACTCTGATCAGCTCCTGGAGAGTGGGAGGAATTGCACACCATGGATTTGCTCTCTGTGCTATTGTCTGGGATGATTTGATCAAGAGCAGACACCTGAGCATGGTCAATAACCCACATGAACCTTATCCCTGAGCTCTAACAACCAGATCATTTCAGGTGCCATGTTCCTTCTGTAATTTAATCCAGTAAATTTGTCAGTCTTGAGCCACTTTCTGTTGAATTCCCTGTCACTCTTCCCATTTATCTCAGAAGGAATGGGATGGATGTTCATCAAAATGGGTGTTGGTCCTACTTCCCAGCTGAACTGCAGGTCACAAACAAGAGGCTGCTCCTCTCTTTATGCCCATGAGTAAATTGCAGAATTGCTGTTGGCGTAAAACCTTTATTTTTTTTTTTTTTTGTACCCTCTAATTTCTTTTAATTTGCAGATAGCATTGAAGCCAACATTGAGGCCTCTTCTTCCAACGTAGAATCAGCCAATGAGCAGTTGGCAAAAGCAAGTCAGCACCAAGTAAGTGGCACTAAAAAAACCTACAAATGCTTTCAGTGATAGTATTTACAATAAACAAAACACCTGGCAGCTGTGAACCACTGGGGACATGGATTTGTGCTACCTGGAAAGATGATAAAGCATATTCTAAGTAGGAACTAAACATTTTTATATATGAATATATATATATATATATATATATATATATGTATAGATTACCATAACACAGACAATTTGCTTTAGAGTAGTCATTAAGAAATCTGCATATTAAACAGACATTTCCCAGTAGGAAAGTCAACAATTAGCTACTGTTGTTCTTGGAAAGACACCATAAAAAGCACATCATTTAAGTGCATATGTGCTTCTGTTTGGTGTGTTTCCCTATAATCAGGCAACAGTACTTTAAGAAAACAACTTGAGTTGTCAAACAACATGATGTGGTTGGTGAATAATGGCTGTGGTGGTGGTGTTCAGCACATTTCAAAAGCAATTTGAGGGATTTTTTTGTGAATTGTTTTTTTTTTCCTTCATTGGAGCAAGAATAAAACATAAACACACACACATACACATACAAATATTAATCTTTTTGAAAACAGCTTGCCCAAAAAGAACTCTTTGATGGTTGTAGTTAGTACTTTCTAGGGATGAAGCGGGGTGGGGGAATGAACAAAGTAAAAAATTGTTATCAATTGCAATGTGACTGACAGAAGAAAAACCTGCTGGTTTTCTTTTTTCCTCAAGCATAAATTGGTGATTTTCATGTGTCTGGAGTTTTGACAAAATGTAGCTGAGGTCCCTGAGAGCACATGGTGCCTGTTAGTTGTCCTTGGACACAGTGAACTCTGAAGCTCTGGGGCCAACCTCCAGACCAAAGGAGTAAGACTCACAGGAATTTTACTCTGATGCAATTGAGTGATTTTAAAATTATCAGTAGCTCATTTGCTAGTGAAATGCATTGTCCAAATTTTGGGAAATAAGAGTGAGTTTTGTAGAACTTTGATGTTGCAGAAAATAAGTGCTGTCTTCAGCTAGATTTTGGGTTTTAATGTATATATATTTAAAATAATGTGTTATGCATGTTATCCTGCATTCACTTTGAAAATAACTTGTTACATGAAGTCTAAAGTGAAACTGGAATGAATTTAATACTTGACCTGACTGTAGAGCTGATTGCAAAGCTGTAAATGAGTTAATGATGACTTTGGCCGGGAAGGTCGAAGAGGAGTCAGGCAGAAAATGAATGCAGCACAGTCTAAAGGCTCTACTTTCTTCAGCCAGCAGGAGCTGCTGAAATAGCCTGCCCAGACAGGAGGCCCTTTTTTCCTCAGATACGTTCATCAGGATAAAGATAAAGCCAGTTTTAGCGAGGCAACCCCTGCCAAGGGCATAAATATGATCTGATTGGTGTACATGAGAAAACAGTCTCTCTTGCACTTGAAACAAGCCCATAATGTCAAATATCACTCACAAAACTTTATCTGCTAAAGGAAATGTGCAATCCAGATCTCCTGTGGAGCACAGGGAACTGTCCTGTGCCCTACTGGATGTTGATCACCAGAAAAATATGTGTAAACCCATGGAGTCTTTGCTTCTTTTTTGCCAGGGCTGGGATTTAACACACAAGACATTATTTCTTGTCCAGACTCAGATGTTTATTAGTTCTTATCTGTATTACCGTGTCACAGACTGTGAGTTCTACAGCACTTCACTCTAACAAACTAAAAATGGAGACCTATCTCTCTTTCTACGAGGCCTTTTAAGAATAAACTGTCCAATTAAGAAATGACACCTAAATTATTTTTACTTTTAACCCAAGAACCAAACACCCATGGCCCGAAGAGTGGACTTTCTTGTCCAATTACACAAAACCACCCAAACCCATGGAGAAGAAGTTAAAAAAGGACCAGCCTCCTCCCTAAAACCTCCATGTTGCTTTGTGTGTATTACTATATTCTAAAAACTCAAACTCTAAGTTTTCCACCCTGTGATATTACACACTCCTGTTCAAACTACACACCCATAATGCCAGTGCTATCATTCAGTTTTGGAAGCCTTCTCCACGGCCTCAGGTCAAATGCAATGTTCTCTTGGGAGTCAGTGTCTGTCAGCACAGAAACTCTAAAACTCTCAGCAGCCAGGGTTCCAACATAAACCCAGCTCACTCTTTGTCACCATGAGCAGAAAACGAGGTGACATTTTTGTCACTTCCACGGCTGGCCTGCTGGCTGGGGCTGGTCAAGTTGCACGTGATGCCTTTCACCCAAAGGGACACGGTCCCCATGGTGGGACAGGAAGGGCCCTGGTGCCACAGCCCTCAGGGATGCTGCAGGGAGGGAGGCTGATGCCCCTTGCACACATTTGGATGATGCAGTGTGAGTGCAGGTCATCCTTCCTGGTGGTTTGCCTGGTTTTGGACGCTTTGGAAATATCTGGCATGGGTTTGGAGAGTGATCAGCCAGATGGCCCTGTGGGTGAGCTGCTTTTAAGGGACCTGCCAGAGCTTTACACGCTCCAAATTCCATCTGGCTCATCTGTGCTGCTCAGGGACCAAAGGCACAAACTGTTTCTTACATCTTACTGAGCAGTTTTCCTTCTTGTGTTAAACTGCTAATTCATGAGTATGTGTGCCTGTTACTTATGTTACAGTGTGATTATCCTGTAAATGCAGGCTGGCTTACAAACATTTGTTATTTATTGCTGTTTATATGTATATAAACATGTGTGTGTGTATGCAGTATTTTATTAGTCAATGTAGTGTTTTTATTAGTCTATCAACAAATGTATACATAAATTGGGAAATCAGAAAGGTCAACACCGTTGAAACATTTGAGTTTAGGACTTTCTGTAGAACTTAATGGAAGGATTTCTGTCAGGAATAATGATTCAGTGGCTGGTTATTTAGAGCAATATTTGCATGTAACCCATGCAGTCACTTCAACAATACAACTTGGAGAACCTGTCCCAACCTACACATTAATATAACAAAGAACCAGTAAATAGTTTTTACTTATTTACTCAAAAATGAGACATTTAGGTTCCCTGAAATGATAGAAATGTTAAAAAAAAAAGTAAATATCTTCACAAGAAGCTCCTTTGTCTGCATTTTAAATTTGGTAAGGTGCTCCTTCCTCTTGAGATGCGTGTGCTAACAGCAGTGTTTTATTACTCTGAGTCAATTCTCATGTGTCCCATCTAAACTCTAAAAGATTAGTGGGAGCTGTCAGAGCTTTGGAATATGCATATATATATATGCATATATATATAGAAGCAGATTTTTTATCTTTCATTTTAAATTATAATTGGAAAATAATTGTTTCTGCTTAAACTTATTTTTACTACAAGTCACAGTTAAGCTGGGTCAGTGCATTATCTGTGGGAACACACAGGGTCAAAATGCAGATGAAAGCAGTGAGTTGAATATTGATACAATACAAAATGTACTGATACATTATTTTTTTTCCATATGAAAACCCTGTTGGTCACAGAAATCTGACAATTTTGACTTTTTTTATCCTACTTTCACTAGAAAACCTGAGTTTGAAAAATTACTGAGAAACAAATGTGGCAGGGAGAAGCCATTAGAAGTTCTCTCCTGCACTGGTCCTGCTTCCATACCTTTCTTTTTAGTGAGGGTCTCATTTCTCTTGGGTCTTGAGCAGGAATGATGACTCCTGCCATTAATACCAACAGCCCAGGTTTGCCTCTTGAAATTTCCTTTTCCCTGCCCCCAGAGAAAATGATTCATCCCACCCATCTCAAGACACCAATTTGAACTTGGGTCAAACTGCTCTCTGGAAGAGAGGGATTTATTAGACCAGATATGAGTGTTTTTGGTGGTGATGTGTGTTTAAGTGTCTAAACCTCCTTTCCATGATACATGAGGAGGAATTGCTTTCAGCACTTTGTGTCTCATCTCACAGGAAATATCTGACATAGGCAGGTCTGCTGGCTGCCTCTTAGGACAAGTTTGTTCTCTCCTTTGGCCATTAAATTGAGATTATATCAATTACGCTACAAATATTAAATGGAAAATTAATCCCATGCCTATCACCTGTCTCTTTATTGAGAAAACTGGAATATGTAGATGCCCTACCTACCCTTGAGGTTAGTTTAGGTGGGCTGGACATCACCCTGAAGGGATGGCTGCGTGGAGATGAGCACTTTTACTTTGCTCTTTGCTAGCTTTGCTCAGAACTTCCTGCAGGTGGATTGAGAGGAAGGAGAAGAAACCAATGCAGACTCCACGGGCACACATTAAACCAGTTGCTCTTCTTTTTTCATGCAAAGTTTGGCCTAAGTTCAGCTTGGCCTCACTGACTGAAGGACTCTGTGTGCTGACTGCTGGAGCAAATTTGTTTTGGAAGAGCTGCTTGTGTTGCCCTGAATAATGCTGGTTGCTTTCCTTCCCTCTATCCTCTGTGGAAGTCAAGCTAATTTGGATTCCCTGGCATTGCAAAGGCAAACAGCAGTTCAGTGACCCACTTGTGTAGTCTAAGAACAATGAGTTTTTTTCCAGTAACGAAGCAATTCCTGGGTCTGGCTTTCATGGGTACAACACACAGAGGGGCACTTTGAAGGCTGGAGCTCTGAGGAAAAGAAGCCTCATAAATCTGTGATATTTGCAGAGATCTTATTGCCTGGGGACCACTGATAGAGGACTGTCTTCAACCTTTGCTCAAATAACTCATTGGTGTTTTAACAACAGAAGAAAATTTGAGTTTCAAAAATCACCTTCTCAGAGTCATTGAATTTTTGTGGCATGGTAGCCTCTCAAAGCACTTGTTGCTTATAAATATTGTGACAATGAAGATAATCTCCTCCTCTTCACTATGGATATGCTCTAAGACCTTGTCTTTTGCTGCCACTGAATAATTTTAACTTTAGTTTTATAATTAAGAGCTAACTGGCACTATCATTGCACCCTGACCTGTGCAGCAGTCATATAGAAACTGCAAATCCATGGGGGACCAGCATGGTTGGATTATCTTGATGCAAGCTGAGGCTATTTCCCTTTAACTTGT